TTGTCTATTAACTAACATGACATATTTGTATAGTATTCATTACCTCCAGGTACAGATTAAGCATCTGATGTAGCCATACGAAGTGACATGCGTACATGAATCTTGGGCATAATAGTGAATAAACTGACATTACATTCGCAGTAATTTGTTTCAATATGTAAAACATGTTGTTGCCTAGATTTGAAAGGACTTGTAGGAATGTTGCAATGAAATCTGAGGAAAAATGCGCAGTTAAATAGCGTTCTCTGTTATATAGATCTAACAGCTTTGTGAGGATTCTTTGTAGATTACAGCAGATAACATCATAAATATGTTTGTTTTCAGCTGCACAAGAAGCAGCCTGGAAATAGAGATCTAAGCCTTTCAGACATTGGCTTGATCTACTCTAATGGTCTATATGGTTAAAAAAAAAAAAAAAAAACACCAAAAAACCCACCACGGAACGCCACCAACTTTATTTTTTAAAAATACCATATTTATATAAATATTGAGTAATGTAGTATTTTAGTATTGTGCATATGGGAGTACTTCTAGCTGACTGAGGCTTGTTAGAATAGGCAGCATCAGTAGGCTGGCTTGTCACCAAAATAATATCAACTTTTTTCCACTTTGTTTTCTCTGGCCTAAATTATGCACTTAGTTGTACAAGCAAAACTTCCACAACTTTGACAGGGTCTCTTCTTTCCTCCTCCCTGCTGGGGGAGACCCATGAAAGTGTTAGAGCATTCCACAGTCCATTAATGGCTTTTTAACCCTTTTTTGTCTCCTGTGAGACAGGAATATGTTCTGTGTTCTGCAGCTGGGAAACTAATGTACTAGATATCGTGGACCATCAGTGTGACCACAGGTGACACAGCTGGGGGTTGAACCTGGATGCTTTTGCTCTGATTCGCTAGATGTTTTTACCACCGTCCAACAATATCTCTGCTTCACGCAGCTGTAATTACTCGGTGTTTGGAGATATCACTGAAAACTGTCTTGTGCCTTTGCTTCCTTCTGCTGGTGGTATTTTTATAACGCGCACAAGAACTGCCATGACAGTTTTCTCTCTTGGGATCTTTGCTCTGAGACTGGGGTGTGTTTATGGTACACCAAAAATTAAAATGAGAACTCTTGGCTTGAGTTTTTAACACTTGAATGCTTTGCTCCCTTAAAGTGCCCCCCTCTTACGAGTTTAAAATTTTGAATGTGATTGGTGTGAAGCGTTTGAAATTGAGAAGGGAGAGTGTACTCTGCCAGGAACAGCTCACTGAGCCTGACCTGGACTTGGTGGGAAGGAAGGTGTCTGCTGACCACTCTGAGATTTGTACTGGGGCTTGTAGACTAGCTCTGAGCAACTTTGATATCCTTGTCAGTACCTGTGATCCAGACTTGTAGATCACATGCTCCAGATACCTTGGAGACTAGGAGTAAGGTGACGATGCCTTCAGTGAAGGCAGAGCTTGTTGTGAGCTGTGGTTCTGTATCAACTTGACTGTGGCCTTTTCAGAAAGAGTTGGTGTTTAATTCTCGGTCCAGCCACTGGAGAGAGCTCTAGAGATCTTAAAACAGGTTTCGGGAGCAACCTGTCAACAAAACTAGCTGCGCAACAGGCGTGGGACTACAGCAGGAGGTCCACAGTGTGTTCTGCTGCCAAGATCAGCCAGAGTAGCTGGTCTCTTTGAGGTGTGTATAAAAGGCTCTGAGGATCAAGAAAGGGTAACAGCACGTTGCTTTGGAAAAGTTGCTGATTTGACTTCACTCTGAGGATAGGCCAGAAGCAGGACTGCAGCTATTGTGGCCTCCTGCGGCTGGTTTTAAGCCAGCTGCTGGTCTCAGTACTGTGAAGGGGGGTGGTGGTTTCCAGTGGTGCAGAGCCACATTGCTGTAGTACCTTACCTGGCTTACGAACAGGGTCTGTCAGCTGCTGATACCCAGGTTGACTGGTAGTATTCCTGTTGGTAGTTACCCCTCCTGGGCTGCATGTCACTGCATTGTTTCTCTTTCGGAAGGAAAGTGGGGTACTGGGGGTTCAGTGAAATGCAGGATCTTCAGGATATGGCTGATGTCTTCCTCTTCCAGAGGAGTGTTCCCCATTTAAAAGAAAAATTTTAATAAAAAACAAATAGGAGAGAGGAAATTAAAAAAGAAGTTGCTAGTTAAGGCACTAATAATTCGGTGCTGCTGAAAGGGGATGCAGGCTGGTTGCAGTACCCTTTGCTAGAATTAGTTCTACAAGGGTGCGTTTTCTATTCGCTTATCTTTGTACTTTTCTGTGGCCTGGTTGAAAAGCAGCATTTTTCCCTTCCCCTCAGAAAAGGCTCACAAAGCTGTCTTAGGGTAGGCTAAAGGTTTTTGCAGTGAAGAATCCCCCAAAATAACAAGACACAATTGGCTGATGCCCAACCAGGAGGAATCTAGTAGAGAAGTCTGGGGGCAAGGAGTGGGCTGGTGTTGTTCTAACCAGGGTATTAAGGTCTTAGAAGCAGCGTGGGGATAGCTTCTGTGCAGGAAGGGGTATATGAGCTGTAAAGGACAGGACTCCTGACTGTTGCCTAGGGCCAGGCAAGATCAACCTGCTGCCCAAGAGGAAGTAGCTCAAGAGGAGGCTCCGAGAACTAAGCAGCAGAGGAACCTCCTCTAAAGTGTCCATTGTGTCAGCTGGAGAGCTCAAGAGTTGGGCCACTCCTTAAATAATGGTTCATTTTGATGCTCAGATAGCATCTTACCTTCAAGTGTTTTCACTTTTGATTCTCTGAATGTTTTATTACAAAAAGACGGGCAGTACACCACCACTGCTTGGTCCAAAGTCCAAAACAAACCCATGAAAGACCAGGGGATAGTAGCTAAAAGGAGTTAGTGTTCATCCCCGTATAAACTTAATTCAGAGGGAGTTCCCCAATGCAGTCCCAGTCTGGACTGGAATGACCAAGGCTGTCTGCTGGCTTCTTTAATTTTTAACCATCATGCACTTTGAGAGAAGGAGCTTTTCTTTTAACTTGGATGTGGTAGCATCTGTTGGTTTAGATATTTTCAGTAACTAGTGAAAGAGCCCCTGGCCCCTGAAATGCTGTACTCGGTAGCTCTGATAAGCCAGTGTGGTGCTACGTGAAACTTAAAGTATGAACTGGCTTGTCTTAGCAAACAGGAGTCCAGGATAAGCTTTGGCTTTGGATGTGATATTCCAGCTTAACATTACTCTACGTCTCTGCACTGGGCATGATGGGTAAGAATTTAAGAATAAACAAATCCATAACTGTCTCAAGCACAGGCAGCTTGGCGCTTCTGCCCTTTTGTAGCATCCTGCAGCTCCAACAGCTTCCAAAGCAGTCTTTGTGCTGTCTGCCTCCTTTTTGTAAGGGAGTGAACAGGATTGAGGTGGCTTTGTTTGGTGTCTTTTTAAAGGTAAGACTTCTAGTCTAATGACTATTTAGAGAGAAAATACTTTCACCTCCATAAAGTTCTTTGAATTATAAAGGACATTGCTGCTGGGTTACTGAAAACCCTTGGGGTTTGTTTCATTTATAACATTGCCTCAGGCCTTCTGCTGCATCCTGTTGGATTGACCTCCTTTTCAACCCGTGCTGGCAGCTGCATTGCAGCGCTATCTTTTCCCTGGATCCTTCAGGGTTGTCATATGACAAACTTGAACTGTGACCCTTTTGTGTCTTACCAGGACAGCAGTGCCCTCTCCGTGTGATGTGGCCAGCAGTCTTCCCCACGCACGCATTTGTTCCAAGCCATTTAACAAACTGAAAATTTCAAGTGATGGCATTTCATAGTGTTTAATAGTATCGACTGTAAAGCAAATGAAATGGTGCTGAATACCCTGCATGCTGCTAGTAAGAAATACAGCTTCCATTTCTGCAATATGCCCTGGGTTTTCTGTGGTTAGTGCGCGCTCTCTGGTGAATCTCTCTTTTTTTGATACATTTCAATGCTTTCCCCCTAACAACAGTAGCATTCACTGCTATAGATAGTCCAGCACTGGTATTTGTTTCTAATATATGGGGGTTTTAACCAGATTTCTCTAAGCAAAGTGGGCAAAGTCATTTTGCTGAAGTCTTGCAGAGAGTGTTAGGGTAAGAATTGATATAGTTAACACGGCATCCAAGCAACACTGTCTCCAAGTGGTGTTGATGCTGGCAGGCATTGCCTTGCTGAAGTTACAGAGACTGAGCACTCGTATTTGTACAAATTGCATTCATTACCAAGAACCCTCCAGTAGTGATAAGAGACTGGCTGTGTAGCATAGATTGGCTCCAAGATAAGTAGCCAGTCTATTGTGCAGCTCATGGTAATCTTCTTCCTCCCCGCCCCTAATAATAAATCTTGGGGCATTTTGGAATGCGTGGGGGTTGCTCATTCCAGTAGCCTGAATGTATAACTACTAAACATCATCATCTCCTACCAATTGTGCTTTCATAACCAAGTGAGGCAGCCGACTGAGACAAATAGGCTCGGATAGTGTTCTGAACACGTGGATGCTTCGACTCTGTGTGTTTGCTGTTCCCTTAAAGGACAATTCACAGGTGAGGGCCAGGGTAAGAGTTTCTCCTGGCTGTGTTTCACGGCTAGAGCCCACTCGCAGTGATGGTTTCCCTCAAGAAGAGACGTGAACGTCTGGAGCTTGGGTGTTTGCAAGTGGGAGTAGGAGCCTTGCAGCACCTGGGGCCCTGCATAGGAACCATCGTAGTACTATTTCTGTAGTAAGCTTGTCCTTTCTCAGCGCACGTGTCTATGCAGTATGACTTCAGTGAAACAGCAGTTATTTTTCTTACCATAATAGTATAGTTTTAAAGCAAGGTAGAATTTTCTGGTTGCTTTGACTGAAATAAACCATCAACTGGCAAGCGTTTGCTTTGTCTTTTAAAGTATGCGAGGACTTCTGTATTGCTGGTTTTCAGCATGTAAAGCTGAACATCAGCAAGCTAGTAGGCAGTATAATCCAACCAGTGTGGTTAAAAACTTGTATTTACATGGAATTCTAACGTTTTTTTCTCTCTCCCTTCCCCATTTAGGGTTTGAACGGCAATGGAATTGCTCCTGGATCATCAGGTTTTAGACTTACAAAACAGCTGCTCTGTCCAAGAATAACCCGTGTCTGTCTCAGGGACTTGATATTCTGCATGGAACAAGAAAGGGAGATGAAGCATTCTCTAACCTTGTACCATGCTCTTCTGAAGTAATTTGAATTTTACATTTCACCTTGCTGTCTACTGCCAAAGAAAACACTGAAGCATTGTTGCACTGTCTTGAAATTCCAATTTCTGGAAAATGATCCGTTGTAAGGATAACTTTTGTTTACAGATAAACATTTTTATTAAATACCTAACTTAGCACCTGTAGGGTTTTTAATAATATTTGGCTTAAACCAATCTGTAAACCAGTGAAAACACTGAGCTGCCCACACAAGCACCTCTGACTACCTGCCTGCATTCAACTGACTCGCAGGCTCTGAGGGCTTGATACGTGTACCTAGTTTAGGTATGTCACTTGCTTCAGTACTCCAGAGTCTGCAACATCTGTTCTACATGTAGTGCCTTCTTCTAATCCAACCTTATTTAGGGAAACAAATAACACTTCACAGGCACTGCATAGCATGGCAACTGTATTTAATCATGAACCAGCAGTCAGTCAACATGCTAATGTATTGCCTATCTCAGCATCTCCTTAAATTTTCTTGGTTTAGAATTACTACTGGATGCTCATTTGTGGAGAGCAAAGTAGCAAGCAAAAGGAACAAGGGGTGCTTTCTCGCCCCTACCTCGCCTCAACTGCCCTCCCCTTTTCCTCTGAGAAAGAGACTGAGGGAAGGTGACCAAATTGGTCATTCTTGTGATTGAGGTACAACAGACAGTGTAGTTAGGGCATACTTTGTTCAGCAAAAATTTGGAGTTACTAAACTTGAATACAAGGAGTGAAAGAGCCTAGAAAGGAAGGGTAAACAGAAGAAACAGTTTATCTTTCTGTAGATATAAAAAATAACATTGAACCTGAGTATAGATGTAGAAAGAAATGAACAAAAGCAACCTGTGCTGACTGCAAAAAAGGGAAAACTGGAGATGCATTGAAACTTTGCAGCTGGGGACCCTCTTAAGGAGAAAAGCAGTGTTTGCAAAGCACAGGATTCACTGCTTTATTTGGAATATTGATTTAATACCCTCAAGTGGTATAACAGGGAAACTTCCCAAATAGAAAGTATTTAGACAGTTGCCTGGTTTCTGTTCAGTGAGGAGGGGGACTCCGGACTATTGTTAAGATTGTTAAAATAGATTCAAAGATTTTTCTACTTGCTAGTAAAAACTGCTTTGTGGTGGAAGGAAAATACATCTGGGTCACCCTTCTCCCCAGCCTCCAAGCGTTTTGCCTCCTGTGACACAGTGCTGTATAGCATAGCATGGCTGTTTCCTAGGACCAGTGAGAAAGGCACTGACTCTATTGAATGGCTTCCTGCTGGAACTTTTTTTCTTTTTAAGCACAAGCTTCCCCTCGTTATTTTGCGGGG